AAAAGAATTCCTATAATAGCAATATTTAGCATGATTTCAATTTCTTTTTAATCCCCCCCCCCTCCCTGGCATAATTATTAAACATTTTAATAGATTAGTTTTATTTGACCCTACTGTTATTAAAATTAATCCATCTTTCTAGGCATATAAGCAAAAATATTTGACATTCACACGTTTAATGTTTTAGCAAAGTGCATGTATTTAATATTTTCTTCATGTTTGATTGATGACTTACGCAAAAGACAAAGAATAAAAACTTTGCCGACAATAACAAAATTTAAGTCGTTATATAAATAAAAAGTAATTGTGGTAAGACAATGTGATGCAAGTAAAATCATGGCATGTGTTGATGTTTACTTTTATGGTTCTAGATAATATAGCGATGACGGGATGACAGACTGACACACTACATTATTAGTAAAATATGTCTATAAACCAATTTTTATTATAGTTACAGCAGTTACATGCTAATTATAATTGTTTAGTACTTTAAAATATTTTAATTTTAAGTTACCACGGTCCGTGAATTAATTCAAATAGTGTAGGTGAACCGGGTATTAGAGAACATTAGGGCATAATACAATTTCAATAGAGTTGGTAATGAACGGAATGTATTACTATAACTGGTCCATAAACCAATCATAATGATAGATGCAGTCTTTATAATGCTACTTATAATAGATCAGATGAATTAAAAATAATTAAAACTTAAGATCTAAGAATTCAGATGGAAAAATTTTACCTTGAAATGATTACATTATCAATTAAGTTTGATTTAAAACAAATGGTTTAAAGTTAGAAACACTTAAATTTTAAAACTTTACTATACGCAGTGTATTCAAAGTTTTCTTGTATTAATGATAAGTCAAGTTTCATTTCTACGGCATAATAAAATGTATCTTTTGCAAATTTAAACAGATTACACTAAACTGATATAAAATTTTATGTTTTGAAGTAAAACCCAACAATTATTTTTCCCAAAAAAAAAAAGATATAAAATCTGCATTTTCCTAATAGTATGTCGAAGTATCATAATTCTATGTATTTCTTTTGTTTTCATATGGAAGTTAAAATATAAAAATAACCTTTTCTTACATTTTTCATTTACAGCATTCATTTCTCAATGTAAACAAGTTAATTAAAAAGTCTAGTGACATTTAAGCGCAATTTCCTTATGTTATCTAAAAATAGCTTTGTCGTAGCGTAAATCAAGAGCAGGGTTAGTAAAACCATTGGTTAGTTATTAAAACGTTTTTTATTAAAAAAAAATTTCAGTATTTTACATGTTTTATTTACAATAGAGTTACATGACTAAAAACCATTGCGCGCCTAGCTACTGAACGTGATGACGCAGCCATTGAACGTGATGGCGCAGCTATTGAACGTGATGACGCGTGTGGTGTGTTTGGAAAAAATGCCTACTAATTCGGTCCAAAGTTCAATTAATTCAAAAAATTTTTTGTGACCGAACGAAAGGATATTTTTGAAAACTTTCTTCGGCAATATTGTTCTAAATTATGTCAGGAATCGATTGGTACATGTTTCAAGTCACTAAGTGGTCTGGTTGCCGAGATATGGGCAAACAACTGCATTTTTTCGAGGTTTTTTGGCTTTTCCGGGAAATCCATGAAAGAAACCCATAATTTTTATGGCCTATGCTCATCCTCGTAAGTTGCTTAACATAATTGCTTTTGGAACTAGTCATCGATATTGCTTCGTTGAGGAGGAGATACAACTTAAAGCTGTGGACACACATTCATCCATCCATCCATCCATCCAGAAATGACGGGTTAATAAACGCAATTCTCCAGAATGGAAATTGCGCTAAAAATCCATTGAACGTAATCTAATTCTAATTCTAAAAAGAATTGTTCCTAGCTTATTTTAGAAGTACATGTAAACCCAAGTAGATCCCTTCCTTTGGGATTTGAATACTTTGCGTCCTTGGGGGTGGGGGGGGGGGGGGTTCTAAAATATCATGAAAAACTAATTCCGCAAAAATATTGCACACGAAGCCCCCAAAGACGTTCTATCAACAAAATCACCAAACAATTTCTGGCTAAGAAGAAGATTATAAAGATCGCCATTCATGAAATTTAATCTAAATGAAACAGTGCTCAAGTTATTTAGATTAGGAAAGGTTAAGTACAAGTTCCGAATAACTGAGGTTATACAATAGTCAAAAGTAATCTAACATCTCATTCTTTTAAAAATAACTGTCTACCTAACTGAAACAGTACTTAAGTTATCATTTAACAGAAATCATAAAAAGTTTATAAAGTAACGTGGGCAGTTAATACTGAAACTTTGTCCACCTAGCTTAAACATAAAGGAAGTTATTGGCTTTTGATATCCAGCTAACAGAAATCGTTCAAAAGTTGAAAGAATACTACAAATTTGATATAATACATATGAAATTGTGTCAACCTAACCAAAATAAAATCTGTTTACAAACATACTCACACACACACACAGACAAAATTGCAAAACTAAATTTTTT